CTGTGGGGGAGGATCATCAGCGCTGCCGCGGCTGAGCGGCAATTCCAGCTGTAGGCCATCGTCTGAAGTGTCGCCGTCGCTGGGCTGCAGGTTTGAGTCGCCGTCCTGGTGCTCGAGGCTGTCGTGGTCGCTCTGTACCTCCCAGTCGCCGACGACATCGTCGTCTATCATCGCTGCTCGCAAGTCTGGAAATGGGAGAAACCTTTGTGGGTCTTATACTGCAGCCATATGCTGATTTGAACTGATCATGAATGGCTCTGGTATAGGTCCACTACGACCTGTAATTGACTGCAACGCCCTCAACCTAGCCTCCTCGGCGACCTCTGTCCAATCAGAGTGCACGTTGAACCGCGTTACAGGTCTCTGAGGACCTTTATGCAACTCAGTAGCTAAAGGGTTAATAATAATGTGAAAGCTTTAAAATATGACTATTGTGGCTTACACCCCTGCACCCCACACTGCCTCCGGGAAAAAGTGTCATCTTCCTTTGTATTTGCGCGCGTAGTGTGCGACCTTCAGATATTCTGCAAACTTTCCAACAATATATGTAGCGTACATAAAAATGGGAAAAGCTATTGTGTTTAAGGTAGCGCGGATGCACGTGACTAAGCAAGAGCACGAAGCCCGAAGGAACATCGACCCACCCTATGTAGACGATGGGAAAGAAGAGCAACACGAAGCACGAAAGATAGAAGCCTTAGGCGATGCAAAATACGAAGTGTTTTACGTAGCGTGAAATATGGAAGTGCACGCAGCCATGAACAGGACAGAACGACAAGAATATGACGGGAGCGTACGGGCCACAGAAGGGAACTAAATCCATAGACACCTCAGCATGCTGAAAAGCACGGGCTACGAAAGAGCACGCACGCTCGAAGCCACGGTAGAACACGTAGCGGTAAGAGTGCACTAACAGCAATTCTCCGATAGCACCACGGTAGAGCACGGAGTACGGTCGACGGACCAGGCATAAAGCCGCGGGAGACCATAAACGGGAAATCACCGAGTATTGGAGCACGATACCAGGGTGAAAACGGATCTCACTGGGGAGCGCGATACTACTGTAGATAACGAGAGCTTGGAGGACAGACCAGCCGCGACACCAAGCGATTGCACGATAGCATGAACGATGGGACAGCCACTAAAACATGGAAGAGCAAGCAGCCACGGGAAATCACCGAGCCACTGAGCACGATAGCACAGTAGAGCATGAGATCGCCGGACCACTGAAGACGATACTTCATTAAAACACGTTTACCCGGACGGCCGACCAGCCACAAAATCGCGGGGAAACGCTTCTGGAGACCAAGATTGCACACCGCGGACACGGAACCATCGTAGAGCGCGATAACATTGGCAAAACATATATACTATGCAATCACGATAGCATAAACAGCATAACCACATTGTGATTGCACGATAGCGCGACAACGCGGTAGATGGAGCCACCACAGGGGTGCGCGGCACACAGGTGACAGAAAAGCTCGGAAGATCACTCATTGGCGAGGGTTCCAGAAATGGAACGCTATCGACCATGAATGATTATGGATACAAAGCCTGTGGAATCCACGTAAACCCTTGAGAACACGGAATATCTAGCAGCCACGAAAGAGGGTCGTACTACGGGAGCGCTTGAGACCAAAGGAGCTAGCACACAGCCACTAAGCACTGTGAGAGAATGAGTCCACAAATCCAGGACAATCACTAAGCAGCGTGGGCCACGGGTGAGCAGGGATCCACGAGGCCAGGAAGATCACGGAAGAGCGCCGGCCACTGTAGAACATGACATCCAACCTGTAGTACGGGGTAACGGAAGCGTACCAAACAACGATATTATACGGGTCCATATGAGACTACGGAATGGTAAGGGGTTAAGTACACGAAGCCACGGCGTACTGGGGTGAGCGACGCTTACAACGCACGCGACACCAAGAAGCACTTCCATTTGCGGCCACCTTATCTCCAACAAACCATGCCACTCCGCCGCGTAGCGGCGGCGAACGGCTAGTCTTAAACATCTACTGCAGCAACCTGTCTGTCCGTCACACTAAATTGTCGTGCCTGTCACGCTTTTCCGGACAAATCATTGGATAAAATAATTTAAATATTTCTACTGGCTGCCGAGCGCAGCGAAGGTGGCTTCAATTGGTTAAAACTAGAATGTGTAGTTGACATCAATAAATGCATGTGTTTTCCAGCTAACATATGGGGATTTGCACAAAGCTAATACATTATCCGAAGGCGGCATCGTTTTAATATTTTATACTTTTTCATAATTTGAGTACTAAAGGGAGGGCAGGGTGCTTAGCGTACACGTAAGCATGCGTGTTTCCGAGGACATGGTTTAAGTATACTAAATACTCTGTACTCAGTAGGATCTGCGAGTTACACTGACTAAAATGATAATTTCAATTTTTTTATTGTAAAGATATTAGCATTATTAATAATAAGTTATCTGAGTGGGTTTCTGGTATTGCTAAATCGTACATGTTACATGTACAGCAGTACTGTAGCCGGTCGTGTGGGCTTGCCGTAAGAACAAAGCTGTGCTTATAAACGTTGTCACTAGATCCACAAAGATAGATAGTTTAGATTGACGTGGAAAAGAAGTAATATGTGCTGATGCCAACTACTACTGTATTGTTTCCTAAGCGTTTATTTAGACAAACAAAAATCTGTTCGAATATTCTCTAATAGGCAAACGCGTTGCCGAACACAGCGTAAAAAAAGGTTTTACCTGTCAGCCGTTAAGAATATCACACACCACACGTAGAGGTGGAAATTTATGGTTTTATTTATAAGTTAGGGCCCGCCAAAGAAAACGTCTAAATCCCACTTCAAAGGCCTCAAACTCACGTCTTAAACCACCTCGGGGAAATCCTCGCTTTTAGATATCCATAAAAAAAATAACGCCCTTCCAAAAAAGGCGTCGTGCGACGCATCGTTATATCCAAAGGCTACAGTACTGTATAACCATAACAGGCACAGATGTGTCTAATGACTAATTCTGAATCAGCACAAAATGAACACACTTCAATGCATAAGAAAATGCTACAGCCTGAATATTTTTATTAAATATTCAAACTGTTACACTTTTAATTTTCTTTCAAAGTAGCGAGTTTGGTATGCGAAGTGGTTAATAGTCAGTTTATTACAAGCTTAACCAGGCAGTACAAGCGAGTATTTGATGCAAGCTGGACAGATATTCTTTGCATTGTTGCAATCTAGGTTTCAGAAACGGCCCGTGAAATCGATCACGACGCTAAACTAAATATATTATTTAGCGTTTTTAGACTGAAGTGCAGGTGCTTCTGGGTGGAAGATTAAGGTACAGTGATCGCCAACAACAACAAAGAGACTTTGCCAAGATCACTAGCGTAATCGTTTATGAGCATGGTAAGTATGATGCTAGGGTCTCAGTCTTTTGTACCGGTAGAAATATTTACACGGCTTACTGGGAGCTCAGCAATTTGTAGCAAAAGAAACGCAGATTTATGAAATTAAAGAAGTCGATTTAGGCACATGGGGGACTCAGAGGATTTGGACTAATTATCCCGCCAAAGCGAAGCGAAGGCGGGAAGGCAAAAATCTAGAGTAAAACCTAAATTACCGCCGCGTAGCGGCGGCGCTCGGCTTAATAAAGAGAGGGTACAAGAAGTGCTGAAAAATGGTCACAAGAGCTCTTTACAAGAACATTTGTAATGTCCGTAGGCCGAATGTGTAGCTGATGTCGTACAATAACAAAACAAACGAGATCATTGAAGTTTTTGTTTCCCACCCTCACCCATTTCATACAGCATGCGTGTCAACAGGTTTTTCCCACGCCGGTTGCACGTCGGGTTCATCATTTTCCAATCTGAAAAAGGTACTTGCACAAAGGATCCACTTGCGTCAAAACCATGCTGTCCCTCGCACGCCGTCTCCGCGTTCCCTCCACTAACATTCGCTCTGTGCAGCATCTCTTGACAGCAAACATGTCCTCCTCACTCTCGCAGCGCTTCGAACGCAGTCTGGCGCTCGGCAAAGCGCTGCCTCCGCTGTCGGACAACGCGGCCAAACTCGAGATGTATGCGCTCTTCAAACAGGCCAATCTGGGCAAGAACACGACCTCAAAGCCGGGTATGCTGGACTTTGTGGGTCGAGCCAAGTGGGACGCATGGACCAAGCTAGGCGATATGACCCAGGAAGACGCCAAGCTGAAATACATCGCCATTATAGACGACCTGGCCGCCAAAACGGGTGCAAAAGGACAAGAAGAGGAAGATGCAGCGGCAGCAACTTCTTCTGCCGGGTCGGAGGATCTCCTTGTCCAAATTTTGTACGTTTTCAATCGAATTTATAGAAGTTCGAGGCAATTTAAGGCACGCAGAGGAGAATCATTGAGTTGCTGTGGGATGTTTTGATTGTAGGGACGCCGGGCTATTGACGATCCAGTTGAATCGCCCCAAAAAGTTCAATGCCATCGATATCGCCATGTACGAGGGTTTGACCAAGGCACTGGACAGCTCCAAGACGCAAGATAAAGTCAAGGCTGTGCTACTTAAGAGTACTGGCGAGTATTTCTCCAGTGGCAATGATCTGAGTATGTTCACGTCCAATCCGGATGGACTTTCGCTCGAAGCGATGGCAGATAAGGGCGCTGTGCTACTAGAAAACGTAGTCAACACCTTCATTACGTACCCTAAGCCGATCATCGTAGCCGTTCAAGGGCCAGCGGTGGGCATCGCGACCACCATCTTGGGACTCTGCGACCTCGTGTACGTGAAGGAGACAGCGACGTTCCACACGCCATTCACGTCACTAGGTCAGTCGCCTGAAGCTTGCTCCTCGCTCCTTTTCCCGCGTATTATGGGACCGGCACGAGCGAATGCCATGCTGTTGCTTAAGGAGAAAATGAGTGCCCAGGACGCTGTGGATACGGGTCTGGCCACTGCAATGTTTGGAGCCGCGGAATTTGACAGCCAAGTACAGGCGAAAGTGGACCTGCTGCTGTCGCGCTATCCACAGGCGATACAGCGCTCCAAGGCGCTAATTCGCTCACCGGCAACAGTGAAGGAACTGCAAGAGATCAACCACCTCGAGTGCCAAACTCTCAAGGAAATGTGGCTGGGACCTGAGTGCATGGATGCTATTTTGAAGTTCCAGTCTCGTAAGCAATAGGTTTGCTGATAAAAAAACATGTTTTTTTAGTTTTTAAACATTTGATACATGTAAATGTTCAATTGCTGAAAACAGCAAATCTTGCTGCTGCACAATTGACCAAAAGTTACCAAACTGTGGGCTGTAGGTACAAACAGTAATATTTTTAGGCCATCTGCAAATTTGCTTTTTGTGAAGGAAGCAACAATGGCGGATAATGCGTTTGTGTGGGGAGCAAATGTGGAGCAGCAAGCCACGAAGGGGATCAGGATGCCAATTGCAATCGACCTCGTCACGGCGACTGCGTCTGGAGCACGACAAGTGGCACAAAAAGAGGAGGAGGCTCGAGATACGAGTAACGCTCAAACATAAAAATTATTTCGCGCTCGGCGATGGTATTAATAGTCGTCTCCGTTGCCCAGGTTGCACCAAGCGAGTCGTGACAAAAGGAAAATGTTCCGAGCATGAAGACAGTGTTGGTAAACATCAGTACTCAAAAGGAGTCTGTGCGACGAGAACTCAAGTGAATGCTGGCAAGAGGCTTTCTCATTCGGACTGCACTAATCGGGCCCGACCACAAGGGAAACGCTATGCACCCGGAGGAAGACCCCAGTGTACTCGAGAGGGTTGTACAAACTACCCCGCAGCAAAAAGACTGTGTCATGCTCACGGTGGGGGCAACCAATGCTCTTACGAGGAGTGTGTGAAGAGAGCTCAAGTGAATGGCAAGTGCGCAGCGCACGGAGGATTTAGAACATGCTTGATTCCAGGCTGCCGCTACCGAGTCGTTTCAAAAGGAAAGTGCTTTGCACATGGCGGAGGGCTACGATGCTCCGAGGAGGGATGCACGAAGAGAGCCCAAGTCAGAGGCAAGTGTACTGCACACGGTGAAGCCAAGCTCTGCTCACGTGAAGGATGCAACAAGAGCGTTCATGCAAAGGGCAAGTGCTTGGCGCATGGAGCTGAGGCTTAAAGCGAACAGTAGGAAGAGAACGACCATCTTCACGCCAAGATCTGCTCGCTTTTTCGTGTTAGTAGTAGTAAGAAGTAGTACTTCGAAGTACTTCTAGAACGTAGAAGTACTATTTTTAAAACCAAGTCACCGCACAAAAAGAGACCGTAAGAAGTTCATTAAATGAGCAATTTTATCAGTGTTTCTATTATGCAAAAAGTGCCTTTTTTTCTTAAAACCAGGACGACAAGCGCTTGGGTGGTGGGTTGTCAGTTCGTGGGCGCGTCTCATTTGGTTTCTTTTCTTCTCGTTTTTCTTCCTTTGGCACCTCAACAACTGGAGCTGGTGGCGCAGGTTGAGCTCCGGGATGAACATGGCCGGGAACTTTGTACTTGCACAATGCACACTCAATAACTGGCGTCGGCGGTGGAGGCAGAGGCGGCTCCGCATTTGGATGGACATGACCGGAGACTTTGTACTTACACAACACGCACTCCACTACGACGACCGTTTCGGACACAACCACTTCTTCGCTTACAGGAGGAGGAGCAGATGCGTCCATAGCGTTGGTACTATTCTCTTCAGGCTCCTCCGTGAGTGACGCTAGCTTCGGTACTGCTGATCGTCGCTGCAACGTTTTATTGCGTCGTGGACGTCTCGACGTCGCACCTTCACCTGCTGTATCCAGGGCAGTTTCCTTTCCAAGAGCAGCTGCAGCTACTCGAGCGTGCTGCACATGCTCTCGATCCCGATCGTCCATTCCCTCTTTAATCTCGTTAATATCGTCCAGTACAGCGACCGTCACACGCCGAGAGATGCCGTAGTTCCGACGCTCCCGTGTCGGCTTGTTGTCCTCACTATCAACGTCCATACTCGTGGCATCGTCCAGACTCTTCTCTTCCTCACCTTCACCACCAGCCTCAGCCTTATAATTCTCCGAATTACTACGATATCCTTGCGAGAAGAGATACCGTAGAGCACGTTTCTGCACGTTCGTCACAGGACGCAACTTTAACGTGCTCTCGAACAACAAACCCGACGTCGTGCCGTCCACACGGAACTCGCGTAATTTGCCCTTCGTATGAACCTCACACGTCTCCACCTCCACCAGTTTCTTCTCAATAAAAGGAGGCTTGTGCGAGCATAACCGCAGCCACTCGTGCAGCATCAAATCGTAGTCCCGTGGCTCCGCTTCGGTCGGGAAACCGGCGTCCATGTCGACATCCTCGTCTTCCGTAGTGGATAAACTACTGATACTACTCACATCATTAGTACTGAGACTACGATGTATGCCCCCGCCAGTCGACGATGGCGTCGCTAATGGCAACGTCCGTGTCGGCCAACCTCGCTTGGGTGGACCTGTTAGTTCAAAGACGAAGGGAGCGTTAACAGGCTCGTAGTTGTGGGTACATATGGAGGCGTTAAAGTACGTGATGGCTCCATCTGGGCTGGCACTGCGGCCGTAGCCTTCATGTACGTGACCGAAGACGTGCAGTTTGGGTCGCACTCGACTCTCCACTTCTCGTAGGAGATCAGCGCATCCCACACGTTGATAGCCGACGAGATCTCCATGTCCCATGGGTGGCGTGTGTGTGATGAGCACGTCTGTGTCGGTAGGAATGTACCTCCATTTCTTAAGTAAAGCGCCACCTCGTGGTAGATTAAAGGCCCAATTGCAGAACTCTGGTTGCCATGGGGTCCCGTAGAAGACGAACCCTTCGATAAGAACAGCTTGGTCTTCGAGGTACAGTGCGTTGGTGAGTAGTGCACGCACCTCTTCCGGATCATACTTTTGTCTGTGGCCGTATTGGTGCCAATACTCGGGGTAGAAGGCGCGATCGAAGGACGACTCGTGGTTTCCCGCAATGACCAGTTTGTAGCGGTGAGGTAAGCGGCCTAAGAACTCGTTAAAGGCCACCACTTCGCTGCGCTCGCCCGTGTCAGTGAAGTCGCCTGCATGGACGAACACGTCGCCATCCGGGATGGCTACTGCGTCCTCATGTAGCCCGTGTGTGTCTGAGACGCACACTACCCGCATAGTAGTCGAGAAATGTGACACGAAAAGCGAGTTGCATTTCAAACACCTCTCATAATTAGTATAAAATTCAGCGAGATATAACCTTTTTGTCCTCTCCAACCAAAAAAGCTCAATTGCCTTTGATAATTATCCATGGCGGAAGAGCTGTCCGAGGAGCGCAAGTTGATCCTTCAGAAGCGGCGCGAGCTGCGTAAGGCCAAGAAGGCCAAGGCCAAGCAGTTCAAAGAGCAGAAGCAACAAGCTCGTCGTGAGAAAAAGGCCGAGATCGTGGCCAAAATCCGCGCCAAACGCGAGGAGGCACAGAACAACGGCAACAGCGGCGAGGAAGGATGCTGGCTTTGTGGCGAGACGTCGCACCGCAAGCAGGATTGCCCCAATCGAGCGGCTGGAGACTTGAACAAAACTTGTTTCCAGTGCCGTCGTCGCGGCCACACATCGCACAATTGTCCGCAGAATGGCAAGGGCGGCTTCGGCGGTCAACACCAGCAACAAGCCGCAGTTTGCTTTAACTGCGGCGCGGACGACCACGCACTGCGCGACTGTCGTAAACCCATGGAGAACGGCGGGGCCACGTATGCCACGTGCTTCGTATGCGGCCAGCAAGGACATCTCAGCAGCAAGTGTCCGCAGAACAAGATGGGTGTATACCCCAAGGGCGGATGTTGCAAGGTCTGCAAGAGCGTAGAACACCTGGCACGCGACTGCCCGGTCGGCAACATTTCAGCAGACGGTAGTAGTGGCGAGAAGAAGAACAAGAAGATGACGTTCGCGGACGATGACGAGGACTACGTCGACACTGGCGACAAGACAGGAGACGCGCTCGACTCGTTCCAGCTCGGCCTGGAAGGCGAAGACGACGACAGCGAGGACAAACCTAAGAAAAGTAGCAGATCGCACCCCAAGCGGGTGAAATTCTAGACACTTTTACCTTTCATGAATAAACACGCATGGCTTCTCTAAAGCACTCACTCGGTCTTCGTGGCGCTCTGACTCTTGAGGTCCTCGGGGTTGATGTTGTTCTTGCGCAGCAACTCGTTGAACTCCTCGTCGTACTTGTCTGTCTCGGGGTCGGCCACACGTGGACCGTGGTTCGGGTACTTGTCCTTGTAGCGCTTGAGCATACTGGAGTGCAACTCGTTCCAGCTCACGTTGTCGTCCGCGTCCTCTTTGTCTTTCTTGTCACGCAGCTCCTGCTCCACTTTACGCAGCCCGTCGAACAGCTCCTTTGTCGGGTTCGGCTTCTTCTTTTTTAGTTTCTTGGCTCCCATCGGCACGAGACGGTCGCCGTCCGTCACAAGCTCCTCGATCTCTTCTTCGTCGCTACTTTCTTCGTCTTCTGAGCTCTCCACAGTCAGCTCTGGCGAGAGCGTGGGCCGGTGCTGCTGCTGTGTCTCTTGCTCTTGCGCCGCCGCCTCGCTGTCCAGCTGCCGGTTAAACCATCGAGCTCCCAGGAACAGCACCAATAGCGCCACGTAGTACTTGAGCACGGGCGTCAATATGTTCACAAAATCCCACAGTGAACGCGGCGCCCGCGGTAGCTCCAGGCGGTCTACAGACTCGTACTCGTCATACTCGTCCATTGTTGTTTTGTATCATTCCTACGTGGCACCGAAATGTAGCCATTTCAGTGGAGTTGCTTGGATGTTGCCTGGAAGTTGCGCAAAGCAGACTTTCAATAGTTTCCACCGGACACCTGATGGGCAACCAGGCATCGGTTCTATTATCGGAGGAGGCCTCAGAGCTACCAGCGATGCACGGAAGCCAGAACGCGCGTGTGCTGAGCTTGCCGCCAGAGCTGAGCGCCGTCGAATCAAGCAGCTCCGAGCCTCAGGTGCCCACTAGAGCTCATGAGCTTCTTAGCTCCACGGATGCGTCTGCTCCTGCTGCGAGTCCCGCGGCGCCGCGCCGTCGTGTTGAAGACTTTTACGACGTGCAAACGGAATTGCTAGGACGGTGCGCTGTGTTTTGCCGTATTGCGCGGCAATTTCGGAGCTCTGGAAGCTGAGAAGTGCTAACTCTTGACTGATTTCAATGACAGAGGACACTACGCGACGGTGTGTCGTGGCCGCTGCCGTCGCACAGACCGCGCCGTCGCCATTAAGAAGGTCAAACGCTTCATGACCGACCCAAAGCGTCTACGCTCTGAGATCACGGCGTTGCGCCGCGTCAAGCAACATCCGAACATCGTAGAACTCATCGACGTGTTCGAGACGACGCGCGAGGTGCACCTCGTACTGGAGCTCTGCACAGGCGGCGAGCTGTTCGAAAGATTAGCCGAGAAAGGCGCGTACTCAGAGGCGGACTGTGTGCGCCACGTGCGGGACATGGCAAGTGCCGTGCAGTATCTCCACGAGTAGGTGACGAGATGTCCTAGGGCCGGGTCTTAAGTTGCTGATGTTGCTATTTCATAAATTTGGCAGATGTGGCATCGTGCATCGCGACCTGAAACCAGAGAATATCCTGCTGTCCACCTCCAACGAGCATGATGCAGTTGTGAAGGTCGCGGACTTTGGACTCGCCAAGATCTTTGCAGGGACCAATTTGAAGACCAAATGCGGCACGTGGGGGTATTCTGCTCCCGAGATGATCTCTGGCTCCGGATCGGCCTTTGGATACGATGACAAGGTGGACTCGTGGAGTCTGGGGACGGTTCTGTACATTTTACTCTGTGGCTATCACCCGTTCGACCCGGAAGGCGAGCGGTCGGACAACGAGATGATTGCGAGCATCAAATCCTGCAGCTTCGAGTTCGACGACGACGGCTGGGGAACTATCAGCGACGAAGCCAAGGATCTCGTCCGACATTTGTTAGTATTGGACCCGGACGACCGCTTCAGCATGACACAAGTGCTGGAACATCCGTGGATCGTCGGCTCTTCGTCGGCGGCAGCTCTTCAGGCTTCGGGACATCCACTCTCGCCTACCATTCACCAGGAGCTGGCCAAGTATCGAGAACACACTAAACAGAAGGTACGTTATTCATGATGCTAACTTTTTTTTAGAGATGTCTAAAGTGTCTTGAGATTTTACGTTTTGGTCTGGGCGGGCCTTGCATTAGTCGGGTTTTGGGCCCTACGACGATCGCGATGACGACGAGAGCCAGCGCAAGTAAACCTGTCCATTGGATCTGTATTGCACGAGCATTGTACACTTCTGTTCCAAGTATTCCTCCAAGCACTAGCACCGCCATAAACGTGTAAACATGTTGATTGAATTATTTACTCTTCTACTACGTAGAAAATGTTATGGAGAAGACTTTTCAATCAAAAAAATGTGAATATTATTAAAGAGCTAGTTGCGCTGGCCGAGATGGTCACCTGCCACGGTCTCATCCGTGTTCTCTGCAATGACCTTGAGTGCCATTATGTCGTCGTTGACGTTGCAGATGGTCGACAGGCGGTCCGCGAAGAAATCCATGGCGACGTACAGAGCCCACGTCGACGGCAGTGTGCTGACTCCGAAGACGGTCCGGTACATGGTGGACATGAGCACCATTCCACCGTTCGGAACAGGCGGCGTACCGGCACATGCGACGATCGTGAGGAAGAAAATGGCTACAAGACGTAGGAACGTGAGTTCGTCGCCGTTGCCGGACGACTCGGCCAAGAAGATGATACCGATAGGATAGTACCACCCAGACCCAGACATGTTTGTGACGACGCCGATAGAGACGACGAACGTGGCGATCGACTGGGAGCACACACGCGCCTTTTGGACGCAGCTGAGTGTCACGGGAGCCGTGGCCAACGACGACGAAGAGCCGAATGCAAACAGATACGACCGGATCATGTGGTGCATGTGCGCGTACGGGTTGCAACGTGCGAGCAGGAAGATGACGAATGGGTACACGACCAAGATCTGCAATACGGTGGCAGAGATGCACGCCACTAGGAACATGTAGACTTTGGGGAGTTGGCTCACAGCGTCTTGGTTGGACGCAAAAGCACCGGCGATGGTGGATACGACGGCTACGGGTGTGATCCAGATAACCCACTCCATGGCCAGGAAGAACGTGTTACGTAGCTGCAGAAGCACCAGGTACAGATAGTTCACGTGTCGGGTCTTGGAGAAGTAGCTGCGGCCTGCAATCGAGCCTAGTACCATGGCAAAGGTGATGATCGCCAGTAGATCTCCGTCAGCTAGAGAGGAGAAGATGTTGTCCGGTACCACGGAATGCAGCGTCGAGATGAGCTGCTTGCTCAGCGTTAGATCGGTGATGACTGCGTCGCTGTTCGTCTCAAAGACTTCGTTCACGTCGTCAAGAACGAAGGCGTTTTCTAGTGACAATTCGGAGGCGTTCGAAGAGCACGTGATGCTGCTGTTGCTTAACATCTCTAGCATTAAGCCGTTCGGACACGTCAGCCCCACAGCATTAGCGTCTGGACTAGCATATTTGGTTTTCAGTCGAAAAAGCGGACGAAAGACGAAGGCTACGCTGATACCCAAAGCCGTCGAGACGACCCACCCGGTCGCAAAGATCTTGAGCGTCTGTAGGCCGACGATCGAAACTTTGCCCACAAATACAATATCACCCACAGCTACGGCTACCGAGCAGAATACGTAGGGCACCACAAGAGCATTAACCGCGCGAAGGAACAGATCACCCGGTAGAGAGATCCACTGCGCCGCGATGTCTGACACGCCGACGTGGGCGAACACGACACCCAACGCGATACCGACAACGGCACCGATGATCATGTACCTGACCGACAGTTTAAGGTTGGTGCCGTTGCCTCGAAAGCCCTTGGTCGGGTCCGGTCGAGTGTCCTCCGGTGGCGGGTCTGTACTCGAGATGAACGGCATCGCCGTGGGTTCCACATTGGCGTAGTCTGTTGGAGCCGACAGGGAGTTGGACAAGGAGTTGTCCGGTGCGTTTTCCTTCATGAACCTCGCGACAGGGTTCGGATTCTGGCGGTTGGTGGTGAAGTTGGTCCGGATGCCATCGCCCAGTTCGTGGGACTTCTGGGTGTTCGTGGTGGTGACGGATGTAGTAGGACGCCGCCCCGTCGTAAAGTCAGTGCGTAGATAGGTGGTCGTGGGCGGTGGTGGCGCTTGGGGTGCAACGTGCTGTGGAATGGGAAGCATGGGCGGCGTCGTGGGCACGAACAGCGCGTCGTTGCCGGTTGAACCGGTGCGCGCTGGCTGCTCGTCATCATCGATCGGCGGCTGTTCTCGTTGGCTTTGGCCGTCGCGAATGATGCGCTGCTGTTCCTCATCCAGCAGCACGATGGGCGCGGGTGGCCGCACACCAACCGCGTTGGCGAAGACGTCCATGCGTATTGATCTAGCTACAGTTGTAGAGTTTAAGGCTTCCTCAGAACGGTTTCCGATATTTTCATCACTGCCGGCTGTGAATCGCAACTTCGCTCTATTCCGAGGTCTCGCGAAAACGAGTCGGGATTAGCACGAGAAAGAAGACACGAGATTGGCCAAGAGCGAGAGAGTCGGTAAATCCATGTACACTTTCGTCCGCGGCGGACCATCGCGCTGACGAAGGTGGAAAACTTGTTCACCGTGAAGGACCTTTACTTCACTGAAGGTGGCAAGTTGGCACAGGTCTACATGGACCGCATCGGCTAGTGTGAACCATGTTTGAGTGGGTAGCGGTTGGAGACACTCCTTTCTCCATGTTCTTTAAATTTGAGCTTCCATTAAACACGTAGTGCACGCGAAAGAGAGCAAAAGGATAATGGCGTGAGTTGTATTGCTTCAACGAACGGTAGCCGATAGACATTCGGATATAGATAGTGGCCGATTCTTCAAGCTCAGTGTTAAGCCTACCATGCGCCACAGATGACGACAGGCCCACCTCGGACTGGTGTAGTGCTAACGCGCTATCCTCACTTGACGTTAAAGAGTGCGGACACTCGTTTGTCAGATGCGTGCAAGTAATCGCATCTGGCGAGTGGTGGGTGGATATTCGTCGTCCAGCTGGCTCATGTCAGCGTCAAAGGAGCGTCAAAGACCACAAACGCTTCGTTCCGCATCGAACCATCCAATTTCACAGTGATGGTGATGACTCGAACTCGACACTTCCGACCCCAATCGTGTTAGCACCGCCACATTGCAATTTCGTGCCAAGCCAGTTAGTCAATTTGTTCTCTTTACGCGGCAATGGGCCTCGACATCAAGACTGTGATCCAAGAGAAGACGCGCTGGGTAGCGTCCAAGCTCTCGCTGCGCAAGCTGCGCTCCACCAAGCGCTCCCGCAAGGCCATGGAGACCACGGAACTACAGCCCGTCGCGCTCGCCGGTGCCAGTAGAGGCTTCACGGGCTCTTCGACGCAATGCAACCATTTCTCACGGACACCGTCAGGGGCGCAAGAACAGTGGACAGACAGTTCAAAAGGAGGCAGAGCACTCTCCGATGGATGGAAGGTCTGTCGAATGTGCCAACGCAAGTTCTCGCCGTTGAGTATGAGTCGGCAGTATGCTGACTTCTGCTCGCTAGACTGCAAGTCCGCCTTTATGCTTGGCCACGGTAGTGCGTAGAAAGTCATACCCGGAACCCACGAGACAACGGGCGTCGAAGAGAAGACGCCGCTACATGTAGCAGCAGCGTACCAATAACAGTGATGCTTTTCAGTTCGCCTAGTGAATGATAGAGGATCTCCATGTACACTTCAGCCGCGTCCATAGTTTACCAACTTAGTTTTAGTGATCCTTACAAAACTCAAGCTAACTTTCACATTTTGCACGATGCCAGAGCCTTACGACGACGAGGCCACTGGTGCTCGGTTCGAGCGTCTGGCGCCCGAGTACGAGGCCGCATTCGCACGTTTCCTGCGTCGCAACTACCGCTCCGACCTGCAGCAGCTGCACCGCCGTCTACGTCACATCTCGACGCCCTTCGCGGGCTTCAGTGAGACCCCGAAGCAGAGTCTCTTGGCCTACAGCCAGCGCGTGTGTGCACAGAGACTGCTGGACTTCAACGCGCAGCTAGGAACGCTACTATTCCGCCACCCTGAACAGCTTCTCCCTCTTTTCCATTGCGCTCTGGCCAAAGAAGTGAGCTGCAACGCCGGCGAGCCTCTGGAAGGCGGCGGACTGCCGTCCATCCCCCTCAAAGCGCGTCGGAAACTCAAGGTGCGCGTCGAGAACCTGCCGCCAGTGCCGCCACTGCGTAAACCAGCGATCAGTGCGATCCGATCCAATGACGTCAAGCAGTTAATCCAAATAGCGGGCACTGTAGTGCGCACGGGGATGGTGCGTGTACAGTTGATCGAACCCGTAAGCCAGTAGCTGAGTCTGTTGTGCAGATCAAGATGCAGGAGATAGAGAGGGAGTATCAGTGCTGCAACGCACGCTGTGGACACCGCTTCCTGGTTAAATCGGACCCGGAACAGGGCAACGTGCTAGAGATCCCGGTACGTGGACAAGAATAACAGGTTATTCTACGCGTATTAACCTGGTTCTTTCGGACACGCAGAAAGTGTGTCCATCGGACAGTACAGGAGACACCAGTAGCGGCGGTAAGAAGCCGTGCAAATCGACGCAGTTTATGCCTGTTGGTGGCGCAGACAGTAGCGTCGTGTCGGACCACCAGGTGATCAAGATTCAAGAACAGGCGTCCAAGTTGGGCGTTGGGTCCATTCCACGCTCGATTTTAGTGGTGCTGGAGGACGATCTGGTGGACTCGGTGAAGGCTGGAGACCGAGTGGTGGTCGTGGGGATCTTGATGCGCACGTGGAAGCCGTGCGTCCGAGGCGTACGCTGCGACCTGGAGACGACGATCAAGGCGAACAGTATCCGGATCAAGAACGCCACGACGTCTCAAGTTTTGGTCACGGAGGAGCTACGCGCAGAGTTCGCGCAGTTCTGGTCGAAGCACAAGCGACATCCGGTCCGAGGTCGCAACGAGATTGTGGCGAGTATCTGCCCCAAAGTGTATGGCTTGTTCATCGTCAAGCTGGCCGTCGCACTCACAGTCATCGGTGGCGTGTCGTATGTGGATGAGACGGGCATGAAGACGCGAGGGGAGCCGCATATGCTCCTTATCGGCGATCCAGGCACGGGGAAGTCGCAGTTCTTGCGCTTTACAGCCGAGTTGAGCCCTCGCTCCGTGCTGACAACAGGGATCGGGACCACGAGTGCCGGTCTCACGTGCACAGCAGTCAAAGACGGCGGCGAGTGGATGCTGGAGGCTGGAGCTCTGGTGCTGGCGGACCGTGGCGTGTGCTGCATCGACGAGTTCAGCAGCATCCGCAGCAACGACCGCACGTCCATCCACGAGGCGATGGAGCAGCAGACGCTCAGTGTAGCCAAGGCCGGACTGGTGTGCAAGCTGAACGCGCGTACGACGATCTTTGCCGTGACGAACCCGAAAGGCCGATACGACCCCACCAGCGACGTGTCCGTGAACACGAGCATCGCCAGCCCGCTACTGAGTCGCTTCGACCTGATCCTCGTGCTGCTGGACCGGATGAACCCACGCTGGGACCAGGTCGTGTCTTCCTTTATCCTCAAACAGGCGGTGGGGACGAGTACTAGCATGAAGGAAGAAGCCGAACGAGACGACAAGGAGACGTCGTTTGAGGACAGCGACCACGTACCTCCTCGAGCAGTGCAGGAAGACTCGACGCTGTGGAGCATCCACAAGTTGCAGGCGTATATCTGCCATGTCAAGGACAAGTACAACCCGCAACTTAGTCGTGGCGCGATGCTCATTCTGCAGCGGTATTACCAGAGACAGCGCGCGTCGGACAGTCGCAGTGCCGCGCGAACAACGATCCGACTGCTCGAGAGTCTCACGCGTCTGGCGCAGGCCCATGCTCGACTCATGTGCCACGCGGAAGTCGCCGTCATGGACGCTGTGGTCGCCGTGTTCGTCATGGAAGTAAGCAAGTCGACGGACAATTGCTCCGACATGTTAGAAGGCGGCGTGGAGTCGGTGCTGCACTCCAACTTCTCCCAGGACCCAGAGGACGAGTACGCGCTGCAAGAGAAGCTCGTTCTTGACTATCTCGTGCTGCAAGAGCTCAGCACAGCAGACGACAGGCCACCAGAGAGCATTTCACAACGAAAACCTGATCCTGTCCACAGTTTTCCGCTGGCGGCGGAGGAGTTCGAAGAAGCTGACGTTCAGGGCGAGTTTGCTGGAGATCTGTACGTTGCTGGGACACTAGAAGAGCAGATTCCGACCAGGAAACGGCCAGCAAGTCAGCAGGAGAGCGGACGACGTCGGCGACGTGCGGATCCGCCATCGCAGCCGTTCACCCCGTCGTCGCTGCCTCAGCGAGAAAAAGACGATCTCGACGTCATGGACGACTACCGTCGAGGCGGACAGCAAAGCCCACACACAGAGGAACAGCCGCGTGTGCCGCCGACACGTCCGCGCTTCGACTTTGGTCGCTGGAGCCAACAGGCCGAAGCCAGTCAATCGATCATCAGCAAGTGGAAAAAGTAGCAACTTTTGTCATTTTACACATGCAGGAGCGAGTACAGTAAGTGCACATTTTTGCGACTCTCAAAGTCCTGAATGGCGTCGATGATACCGTCGTTTAGACTGTTGAGCACGTCGATCTAGCAAGGCAACAGGTGAGTTAGTTATCGTACCAACTTTTGTCATGTAGCTGTAAAGGGTGCAACGTACTGCCTGGCACAGCTCCAGTGCCAACGACCCGCCCACTTTGGCGTGTTCGGGTGTGTCTTTAGTGTCGAGACAGAGCAGATGCAGCGGCCTCCAGGCCATGGTGAGCTCAGACCCGGTGGGCTGCGCTGCTCCGCGTAGCTGCAGGTCCTCGAGTACGATCTCGAAGATGCGGTCGTCGAAGCACAGCACAACGTCCAGACCTTGGAGCTCCTTGACGCTGAGATCTTGCCAGCGCTGCGGACACTTCTTGGTCAACATGTCTCGCTCCAGCATGGACAGCACGCCGTTGCGCTTGAATCTGTTACGCACCAACTTTTGTCATTGACTGGTCGACATTAAGTAGGAGGAAAAACTAGAACTGACAGTTCGGCGTTCTCGGCCTTGAGCTCGCGGTACATGGTCTCGTAGGGGGTGAAGAACTCGTAGATTCGAGGATCGTCGCGCGACGGACCGGGAAAACGCACGCGGTTGCCCGCGCCGAAGGAGCATACACGCAGCCCCGCGGCATGTAGATGGTCGTGCGCCTCCGTGCTGCGGTTCACGTTGTTAGCGCACAGCATGGCGAACATGGGGCGCGTCGACGCCATCGCTGCTGGAAAAGGAAAGTAAACTTCATGCAACGAGAGCTGGTCGCGCGAAGGTTGCTCGAATAATAGATTATGCGCAAACTTTAGCTTTTCGTAATTACTTGTATTAATAAATAGTACATGTATTATTTCAAGTTTAGCTTACCGATAATATTAATTTGTCGGACTTTGATTAATACTTGAAGTACCGTCTCTTCATACTTAGTACGGTATGGTACCTCGAACTCCCCGCTAAAATTAGGATACTTTTCAAAGCAGAGCCATTTGTTACCCAAAGTAGGCAGCATATTACAGTTCTCTAATAAAAATTGCCGCATTCTATCAGTGTCTTTATCGTTAAAAGCATCTCGATGAAAAATTATGCTAAGTCAAATTTACCTTAACTTTTTTTTTAAACGAAGTAGTAATAATACAAGTACAATGTAGCACTGCCGGTCGATAACAGTCAGCATGCTACAACGTAGTATAATACAAAAGCCAGCGTTTTCATCAAATCGATTGCACTCGAATGAGTCAGGGGGCGGAAGATAGCAGCGCAACTGTATCTTGCCCTTCGCACACCGACGCTTACACTGTAAGCTACAGGTCCTCTTCGTTAATGATCACTGAGTTTGGCGGTCCCACTGACGCCTAAATAACCGCAGCGGGTACTGACGATTTTGCTGCGGCTGCCTACGTGGGCTCTGAGAGGTCGAATTGACCGGCCGGAAAACGTTCCCGTAGAGCTCTTTTTGTTCCCGTCGAGCTCCTTTTCAATGACGTTGGACCTTAGAGGTGAAAGTGCGGAACACCGCGCGCAAAATACACAAAAAGCGGCCAGCGGCACTGTAGAACGCATCATAACGCAAAAAATCCCAGCGTCTAATCGCGATAGCTTCGATCAAAGGCGAGCGAGCACAAGGTGCATTGACAAATAGCGATCTTACCAAAGAGAGAATGTTACACTGGTTGTTGCATTTTTATATTTCAACGATGAATATCGTCGATGGATTGCTTAGTGGGTTTAAGGTATCTGCTTTCCTCATTCTTATTGCGCGCCGAGCATCTATCCATCCGCCAGCTACCGACCGATGCTTACTGCGATTTTTTTTTGCTTTTAATCACACCTAACACTACATGTAGTTCCGTCTTGTGCGATTCCGTTAAAGCTGCAATTTCTATCTGACTCACAGATGCTGCAATAAAAATAGGGTTTGCGCGAGGAGATAATTTGATCGTAAACAGAAGGCGAGAATGGTGTTTTGAGCGTGTTGGCGTTCCTTGTGCAGCAAAAAGCCTCACATGTCGTTTTCCCCGCTACAATCTTTGTAGATTCGCCAATTTTTCTAAGAAACAGTGGTGGAACAACGCAGCCGACAAATAGCTGACCACTTACTCACTAGCATAACGTCGGGCGTGCACCGATTTGAGTCCTAAATATCAAAACCCATTTAAACACCTGTACAGGAGTTGCGGCGCAATTCCATTTATGCCTGATTGCATTTTGGTTCACGTCCGTGTTTCATAGTCACACTCGACGCGAGGGACTATCCAACGGAGTTTCACCAAAAAGCTGGAGCGTCGTCAGTTTGTCGCTCCAAAGCCCTCCAAAGCCTACACCACACTGAGCAAGCTTATTCACCACGGCGAATCAACAGCTTGGCGATGCCGCAGACAGAATCCAGTTCGACGTTAAACTTAAATTTAGATCAAAAACTCGGTTTTGGCGAGCCCTGCTTTGCACAGCAGTTCACTTTGACCAGCGCAACGGCTCAAATATTTGTCGCCTCACTTGCAGTTTGTAAGTTTTTCTCTGTGAATAAGATGCTCTTGCAACGCAGGACCCCACAGCTATCGAGCAAAGTAAATTGTAGAAGATGTAGCTGCATTCTTGTCGTACGGTATCCCTACGTCGACGCGTTGTCGTGTGAGACTCGCTCGGAGCCACTCATCAGCCTCGTTGTTGCTCAGCCGCAGACTTGGCGCACTCTTCCATTCCCTTGTTGCTGCGCTACGCGGGACTTTTTCAGCGTAGCATTTCTCTTCAAGAGTAACCGGGCAAAGGCTCCACACAGTGCCTTGTGGAACGGTAGAAGAAGGCAGCTGGCGGGGATTCAGCGTCTCAAGTGGAAGTGTAGGCTCGGTTGTGAACCTGGGTGGACCTTTCGTCCTTACTCGCCTCGTTTCGTTCGGTCGCGGGCTCCTCGGCCAAGCGAAGCAGCTTCAAGCTCTTTACAAAGAAAAGGGCGGCGGTTCTCGCGCGGAGGACGACGCCTCGACGTGCATAGCAAAGTCTCGTGAAGTTGAAAAGCTCAAGCTCAAACTTAAAAAACGCTCGACTTGTTGCACAGAGCCTTTACTTCCCAAGCCGCGAGCTATCGCGTGAGTGGGGGGCTCGAAGGACTCGGGCTTCCTCTTCCAGCTGACAACGCCTGCTGACGTAAGTCACGCGTGGTTTGCTCGTGTTTGAAATCCTCAACACCGCGCACTGTGTCGCTTGTCACATCATCTTTAAGGCCGAAGCAGGCAGAAACGTTGGCGCTCTCATGGAGCGTCAAGAACAGGGCGTAGACGCCCACCAGGCCGCTGCAACAGGAGACACAGGAAATCAGGAGGACGCGACGATGACGTCGGTGTCACGCGGCGTTAAACGCGACTCTGGTGGTGCAACTGAGCAACACCTTACAGTACCGACCGAGGAGAACTGGAGCGCACTCAGCAACCTCCGCGTCGCAGGAGAAGAACTTGCAGTGCAGACACAACCAATAACTGGCTCCGACAGCAATACCGGTAGACATAAAGTTAGACGAACGAACAGCTACGCGACCCCGTCGACACCTCAGGACGACGGCAGCTTCAGTAAGTCGTCACTAAGTTTCATTCTGGACGACCAGGCTGCGTCGGCGGCAGTCGCTGGTAAGCACCGCAATTATTATTTTTCGTCACTTTGCGCTAAGTTACTAGCTTTCGTCTACAACTTTCAGGCAACGACCTATTCACACACGGAGACAAACAGGTCGCTGCTTTACTTGCCCGAAGCAAAAGCACTGGAGACTTAGCGGGCGATGCAGCACAAAGTGGACGCATCAGCCGCACTAAGCAAGGCGCCGACGGGAAGCGTCGGGCACGACGACCACCTAGCCGCATCTGCAAGCATGAAGGCTGCGAGCAGTATGTGGTGGATCAAGGACTGTGTGTTCGCCACGGAGTACGTACTATCCATTTCTTCACGTGCCAACTTTGCATCATGTTGACGGCCAATTTTAGGCTAAACATTTTTTTTTAGCCCTTCGATTAATATTATTTTGTGTGCATTTAACAGGGTGGTAAGCGATGCCAGGCCCCAGGCTGCACCAGTCGAGCGAAACATCAGGGTCGTTGCTGGAAACATGGTACGTCAGATGACCAATATATTATTTTTAAGCATTATCTAAGAAAGAAAATAACCCCGGACATTAACAGGCGGTTCGACGGAGTGCAAGGTTCCTAGCTGTATCAACCGCGCAAAGTCGCGTGGTTTTTGCTGGTCCCACGGCGGCGGCACGAAGTGTAAGACCGATAACTGTGAGAAGATCGCAATTTCTAACGGTTTATGTTGGGCTCATGGGGGAGGTACGATATTATATATATTTACTTCGAAGTATTTATTTGGCAAATTTGGGTTACGTGCTTATTTTTGTCTGAAACTGTATGCAGGCAAACGATGTGCTGTCGAAGGGTGCATGCGCCAGGCATATGAGCGCACCGACAACCTGTGCAACAACCACTTCCAGGAGCGACAGCACGGCACAGCAGCCGTCGAAGTGAGAGAAGATGTGGCTGGGCCCACAAGCGGGCACCCTGACGACGAGGAGAAGCCGCCAGCTCACCAGTAACGAAATGTTTGTACAAATCCCATGACGCCGCTTTGGTCAATAGCAAATCGAAATTCCGCCGTTCAAGTCGAAGTTGCACAAAAAAATCCAGTTGAATGGTCGTATGTGACGTGTCGATCGTGATGATTCATGGCGTGTTAGTTAAACTAAACAGAAACCTTTATGCTGCGACAAGAAACTATTTTGTCGCTGCATGAAGGTTTCTGTCGTCGAAGAGTTGTGTCCACGAAGACAGGCTCACGATTCGTCTATCTGACTCAATGCGCGCCACCTCGGAACAATAACTAATTTTAACAAACAAAGACGAACTTCGCCCGAAGAAGCTCTGAAATTTATCACCGTTTTTTTTCTCGAATTCCATGTTAGCTATTCCCTTCCCCTTTAGATCGATAAATAGTTTAACGCTGTGAAGATTGAGATTTCCCGTAGTGATGCATCTCCTGCCTTGCTAAATCAGCCCTTCCGAATGACTACAGTAGAGACCTGTAATTTCTGGAGTTGGAGCAAGGAATACACAAAAAAATCCGATTAGCCAAGAAGTAAATCTCAGCATGGTGTTTGAACTCCATATCCAAAAAACTACAGCTCTCTAGTAACCACAAGTACGTCGAAGTACATGTTACAATACAGTGCGCGCTCGTAAATATGTGCGCTTCCCTAATTCCGGGTTAATTTCCCTAGCAATTCGATTTTAGTGGTCGGTGAGCTGTTGGTAAAATTGTTTCAGGACGTCGACAAAGTCCGCGATTATACGTGTTTAGTTAGTTTTCTTCTGAGTTAAAAAGACCATGCGATATATAAAATTTGCAGTCTTAGTTATGTGCTTTTGGACATACATAATGTAAGGCAGAACGTTTTATAAAAACATTATTAGTGGTTATCACGGTTGGATAGTAAGTAAGTAAGGAAAACGGCCAGTTTGGGGCCGCCGACCAGCTAAGGGCCGAACCAAACTTTCACCCAATAAAACTTGTTATATGAATATGAGACCATGGGTGGTCGAAATACGTTAATTACGAAACCTTCAGACATTGATAGACGAATGGCGGGAAACAAATGCTTTGGCGCCACCGAGCTAATACGCCATGGTCAAGTACTGGACAGAGGTAAAAGCTGAAGCGGTACCCCTGGCTCGAGGATGCGTACCAGTGTCTGCAGTTGCAGAAAGAATGGGAATTCTGAAGCGAACCATTCGCAAGTGGGTTCAAGCTGCTATTTGTGGCAAGTTGCTGGAACCCGCTCGAAGAGGACCACGTCCACTGCTTCCTGAAGAGGCAGAACGCCATATTCACGAGTGGGTAGTCGGTCGGCAGCTTGTTGGGTTTCCTGCAGACCGCCACCAGATCCTGCGTAAGGCCCAGGAGGTGGCACGCCCTGTGTGTGGTCGCTCTGTCGGGGATGGCTGGTACCGGCAATTCATGGAGCGCCATCCAACGCTGGCAAGTCGCACGGCTCAGAAGCTCACGCTGAAGCGGAATAATATTGAGTCTTCAAATTTACTACTTTGTTTAACTCACTAGCCCAGCTAGTTATTGAGCTAAAGCTGGATGCGTCGCGCGTGTTCAACTTGGATGAAACTGCCATCAAACACGAAACAAGAGCAAAAAAGTGGTGGCGGTGCGTGGATCCTCTAACGTGTGGAGCATGGATCCTGCTATTAATTTTCACCTGACTATTGTAGCATGTGGAAGCAGTGCTGGCTTTGTCGTGCCACCCGCCTTCATCCTGCCGGGAAAGACGGTTGAATGGGATATACTGAAGAACTGTGATATACCAGGGGCTTCAATTACTACGTCTAGCTCAGGTTTCATCAATTCGTGTTTGTTTGAGAAGTGACTGCAATTCTTCGCGAAATCTGTACCAAGTTCCGTGAAGCGGCCGCTGCTGCTTGTACTGGACGAATGCAGCTCTCACTACTCCGCGGGCGTGGTCAAAAAGGCCTCGGATTTGGCCATCCTGCTCGTTTTGCTGCCGCCAAATGCAACACACCTGCTACAACCTCTAGACGTTGCTGTCTTTGCCACACTCAAGGTAAAGTTATGCAGCTTGATTTACGGAATGGTGGAGGAGGACGACGATGGACGCTTCACGATTGACAAGACGACAGCGATACGCTTGGCGAGCATGGCGTGGTCTAGCAGCAAAATAGGCCGGAACATCAAGGCTGGATTCAAAGCATGCGGATTTTTTCCGCTTTCTTTGGTAAACATGAGCAATAGACTAGGTGTCTACAACAAGAATGGAGTTCCTAGCCACATGCACCTTGCAACATGGCTGCACGTAAAGTTGACTGTCGAACATGAGGTTCTCACGCTTCCCGTACGGCCGAAGAAATCGACGAAGCGCAAGCGAGTCGAGCTGGGTGGCCAATAGCTGACGCAGGCCAAGTAAGAAGCTGCTGCGGCAAGTGCAGCAAAACCGCCCAAACCAAAACCTGGCAAGCTGATATCAGAGCCAGCTATGCCTGCCAACATTGTTTGTTCGGTTGTGGTTTAGATCAAAATAGTGCTAGTGGGATACTTTGACTGAACTTTGAATAGAAAGCTTTACTTTCCATTTAGTGCGGAGAATTAACGTGATCGAGCAGACTTGAACTCGCGACAACCCTGCTCCCCGAAGGGCCCTCAATAAGCTAGCCGTCTTAACGACTGAGCTGTCAGCACTAATTAAGAAATGCGATAATCACTTTGACAAATTGATGCGCCTTCACTATTCAAAATACTTTCAATTTGTACATCATCTATCTCAGATAAGAAGATGCAGTAACCCGATCCATATTACCATGCGATTTTCGTGGTCACCTCTCTGTAGACCACCAGTACGTTATTCAAGTCAAGATTCGGCCCTTTATTGGCAGTCAGCTCAAATACAATTGCAAATTTCGCAGAGCCTTTAGGCACCAGTTTGATTGGTCCGGCAGCACAAAAAAATTAAGGAGTAGAAGAGATGGTGGGCTTTCCAAACCTGCCACATTTTTTCTCTTCCGATAACGCGATCCCGAGTTATGAGAAGAATTACCGGGCGTCTCGAAAACGGCCCGAAATTGGCCATTTCCCTTAGCATTATCTAATCAAATCAAACTTTCTTGCTTGAACCGTGAGGGCCCCAATTTGTGTGGCGTGACAGGCGCCTTCGTCTCAGACAAACTGGCTACCAGCCACTCACCTATAGCGTACTGCAGTCATGACTCGCAGTGAGCGTGCTACAACATTGGAATGGTTGGAGGCTGTTATGATAGCCAACGAGCTACAGGGTGACACGGACGGCTGCGACGAGGAAGTCATGGTCTATAAGGCGGTCAGCGGAAATCGATACCTGGAACGCAACCACGTAGAGTGTTGTCGCTCAGACACGCCTCGCGAAGTAACAAACAAGCTCCTTGATGCAAAGGGAAAATATGAAGACTGAATTACTTGGTGTCAGCTGGTCTGCTTCCTGAGCATTGACCAACACTCACGGGCCTTTGCCCTCTCTCATATAACGACCTGGTTTCTTTGCTACTCCAGCTTTCTTCAATCTGCGCCAGGCCCCGATGCAAAATCCAACACGCCCTTCTCGAAGATCGGTCTTCGAGGTCGAAACTCGTCTTCGACTACGTTTCTGCTCCAATGCCTACAATCAGCAACAATACTTTCAGTCGCTTCTTCTCCAGAGGCTTGGTCAGCGTGTCGGCAGGGTTTGTTTCCCCCTTGACCTTATGCAACTCCACAGTGCCTTTTTGCACTTGCTCTTGGACGTAACTCCACCGCAATTTAATGTGGTGCGTACGTCTGCTGTAGGTAGGATTAGTTGCCATCACGTGAGCAGCTTGGCTGTCAAATCCTACACGCAATTTCACATCGTGTTGATGTAAAATCTCTTGCAAAACATTTTTCCTAGCAACTGTCTCCATTGTGGCTTCATACGCGGCAATGTACTCCGCCTCCGCGGTCGACAAAGCGATGACGAATTGTCTTCGTGACATCCATGCTACAGCTCCGCCTGCTAGCTCAAACACGAAACCAGTAGTGTTCTTCCTTTGATCTGGGTCATTAGCCCAATCACTGTCACAGTAGCCCTGCAACACCAACTCCTTCGAGTCGTTCTTCTTTTTCTCGTACTTGATTCCATAGTCCAAAGTCCCAGCCAAGTAACGCAGCACTCTCTTTACCGTTCCAATATGCTTCACCAATGGGCTCCCTACGAAGCGACTCAGCTGACCTAATGAATAAGCCAAGTCCGGTCTGGTACTTGTAGCCAGGTACATGATCATACCAATGGCCTCACGGTACGGAAAGCTGCTGTCTGCACTCTCCTTCTCTCCAAGCGGTGTGAGCCGTGAATTTACTTCCATTGGATTCCCTACTGCATGTGCGTTTTAAAATCCTAAGTTTCCAAGAATCTCTCTTGCGTACTTGCATTTACGGATCATAATGTACTCTGGCGTGTGATTCACTTCCACACCTAAGTACTGTGTCAACAGCCCTTAATCCTTGAGACCGTACGTGTTGTCCAAGTCCATGAACAACAGATCCTCGTACTCCTTGCTGTTCGTTGCAACCAATATATCGTCGACGTATACTAGCACGTATATTATCGTGCCACCCTCAAATAGGTAGTACAGGCACGGCTCCGTCAACGATCTCTGGTATCCACGCTGGACGAACCAATCATTGAGCCCTGAATTTCATTCTCGATTCGATGTCTTAATCCATACAAAGCCTTGAGTACCACGTAAGAATGCCCACTCACTCTGCACGGATATCCGTTGATGAAGTGTAGATATTATCGTATGCCTAGCCATGCATTGAGGTAAGCGGTATTCACGTCTCCTCCGTATACCTCTAATATTAGTAATAATGCCAGTCCTAACAACAGTCTAAATGAAGCCATTCTTGACACAGGGGCAAACGTTTCCTTGAAGTCAATGCCTCGTCGCTGGTGATTCCCCAACGCCACTATACGAGCCTACAATCTTATCACATGTCCCTGAGGATCAGACTTCAATGCATATACCCACA